TTTTCAGAAGAAAGCATTGTGCATTCTAACCCACAGTAAACAACAAAGAAGGCATTTAATGAACATGCAGTCTTATCAAAGCAAATCACTTCCATCACTGAAAGGTGCACAGTCCAAAATGCCTCTTTTAATCATTGGCTTTTTTCCTTTTATTCATTTGCCACTACACCAAATCAAGCTAAAACACAATACATGTAAAGCTGATTGATTGGTAAATGTAATGTAATGGCCCCTCCCTAGTTCTTGTGTTGTTAAACGAAGAACACTAGTTGTGAAGCTTCAACTGGCGATCTTCGACCTTATCCTTGCATTATTTTCAGCACTGAAGACTGCCAGGAATGTGAAGGAGTGGTCACAGAAATGGATGGGCCCAATTTGGAGGATTTATTTTATTGTTGATAATTACTCCTTGTGTTCATGTTTCATATCCAGTAAGGCTCTACAAAGTCTTAAGGTACCATTTTGCTTTAGTTTCGGGGGTGGGGGCAATGCTTTCGGTTCAAAGGCAAAAGGGTAATTTTAGATCTCACAGAGGCACACATACTATATACCACCTATCTACAAGTCCTTCAGTTAAAATGTGCCTTTTCTTAGCTCTATTGTGCAGTTATAGAGGAAAAGATTTTTTTAAAGAGTTACAGATAGTTGCTACCTGAGCCATCACACAATACCCCTTTTCTCCTGCTGAAGCAATGCAAAGCCTATCAGTTTCCCACTAGAAATTGTAATGTTAGATTTTGGCAATGGATCATCTAATTTCAGAGGCCTGAAGGTTTCATATAATGCACTAGAGGTGTTACCTATTCTGTTTTCTTCTCCAACCTGTTTTCTAGATATTTGGGACTATATTAGATATTGAATCCAGCCAGCATGAAAAATTACTAGGCATGATGGGAGTTGTATATTCAGTTCCAGCTATTGGTGAACAGGTTTAGGGAAAAGTGAAGAAAATGGACCCCTATGACTATGGAAATTTACCAACATGATGAATGATGCATAGAATCAAGCCCAATGATAGAAAATAGGATAGCTAGGCAACTGTGTTAGAGATGTCATTTTTATTTTTAAAATCTTCTCAGAAATAATATAAAATATTAAAATGATATCCATTCTGCATGTTGTAGAGCTACTTTCTGCCATCAGAAAAGCAGAAGTCAGATTGGACTTAAAAATGAACTCAAACCTGTATTTTTCCAGTCCAGAGGTAACAGTGTATCAAGAGACTTTAAGATATATCTAAGGATTTATCTAAAGAGGCGTAGAGGTTCATTTAAACAGATAATGAATACCAAAAATACAAGAAAGGTATAAGAAGGCTGTAAAGAATGAACGACAATTTCAGACAGATGTTAACTGAGAAAGCGAGTGCTTGGATTTAGCCTGAAAGAAGTTCTGGAAAGGACTTGGTAGATAGTCTGTAGAGTGGTAGACTGGTGAGAAATAAGAATAAAGTAGGAAGAAGAAAAAATAGCAGACACAAATATAGTAAGTTCATAATGAAACTATGAAGGCATAAGAGAGTGTCAAATGTTCTGACCAAATGTTCTCAACCAGCATCAGTTCCAGATAGCATGATCCATAGAATAGAATAGAATAGAATAGAATAGAATAGAATAGAATAGAATAGAATAGAATAGAATTCTTTATTGGTCAAGTGTGATTGAACACACAAGGAATTTTTCTTGGTTCAAATGCTCTCAGTGTACATAAAAGAAAAGATACATTCGTCAAGAATCATAAGGCACAACATACAAATAATAGTCATAGGGTACAATAAGCAATCAAATTATACTAGGAAACAATCAATATAGATCGTAAGGATACAAGCAACAAAGTTACAGTCATACAGTCACAAGTGGGAGGGGATGGGTGATAAGGAGTGATGAGAAGATTAATAGTAATAGTAGTGCAGACTTTGTAAATAGTTGGACAGTGTTGAGGGAATTATTTGTTTAGCAGAGTGATGGCGTTCGGTAAACTTGTGTCTAATTGTTCTGGTGTGCAGTTCTCTATAGCGTCATCAAGGAGGAAGGGAATTGTAAGCCCAGTCTTGAAGAATCCAAGTTTACAAAGGCTGATCTGGTATATGCCACTACTGGAAAGAAAGAAAAATAGTTTAATGCTTGGTTATAGCATCTGTTTATTGTATGTGACTTCCAATGTGCATTGACTACATGGTTCTTGATAGAAGCCTTGTTTATCTGACACCTTCATATTACTTATTTTTTTTGTTTCCTAATCTCTGTATGAGAACCAGTTTGGTGTAGTGATTAAGGCATCAGGCTAGAAACCCAGAGACCGTGAATTCTAGTCCTTCCTTAATCATGAAGTAAACTGAAAGTGCTTGAGACAGTCGTTCTTTTTTAGCCCAAGGAAGGAGTTAAAAGTGACTTGCCAAGGCAATTGCCAGGAGTCAACTTTGACCTAAAGGCATATGCACATTCAAAAACATTCTCTTATTAATATTAATGTATTTAATATTTGATTGAAAATATGAGAATATATACAATGTAATTGTAATTGAAGACTACGAAATGGAAGCACAAAACAATTTGTAAACCAACCGACACACTGTATGTATATACATGGAAGATGGCTTGATGTTTTTATGTTTTGTTTGTCTATGTTTGTCTTAAAAACCAATAAAAGTTAAAAAAAAAACCATTATCTGCATTCAGAGAGATACAGATCGACAATATGACAATGATGCAATGTAGGCAATGATCTTCAGTGAAGAATTGGAAGCCAAGCCAGTCTTTTCTAATCAACAATACTAGACTTCTGCTTAGCAACTCTAGTATTGTACAATTTGTACAATTTGGCCTGGACACGTTTTCTGGCATTACTCACACACATCGGATGCAGTATCAGACATAGTGCAGATGCTATTCAGTCATTCCTGGAAGGGTTTCCAAAGCAATAGCAAATATGGAATAGGGAGAAAAAAAGAGAGAAAGCAGTAAATGATTTACACTGACTTCTTCAAAGACAGAACCCACTACCTATAAAATCCATTTCTATTTCTCCCTGGGATTTTGCTCCACTATACATTAATTAAAAAAATACTCTGGTCTGACATTTCAAAATGACTTTTGCATTTCTTCACCTGATTATTTTTAAAGCCAAATAAATCCTTTATTTGTTTTTTTGGGCTGCTTAAAGTATCCTGTAGGTACAGCAGCAAACTAACATAATATCTCTGCTTGTAAAGGAAATGCTGGAAATTCACTTCAGAATTTGTAAGACCGGGGAAAGAAAATCTGTTTATTGCAACTGTTAGAAATTCTGTTTATTGGATAGCTTTACAGATCAAATAAAATGTAAAGTCACCATAGCCTTGCTGTTTAATGGTTTAACTATAACAGGAAACTCTCCTCAGAAAAAAATGACTATAGACTATATATCATAGTTTATACCTAGTAAATTTACAAACACTGCTATCTATTGGCTGAATACTTCTGCAGTTTTTGCAATACAAAATACATTCCAACGAATGTTCCAACAACAACCATTATGTTTTCACAGGAAAACATTATTTGTGATAGTATATCATTACTTCCTTTATATTAAAAATGACCAAAATGGCACAATTATGAAAACACATGCTATAACATATAATTAAAATAACAGTTCCTATAGCAAAATATTAAATATGACAATAAACAAGTTAAAATTTGTCATAACGTCTTTTTTCAACACTGACTTCAGTGGTAGGGTATTTTACAAATGAAAGTACCTGTGACTGTGCCCATCAAACTAGTAAGAGACAGTATCCTCAAAAAGACCTTTCCAACAAATCTTAAAAGTCAAATTGGTTCAAAATGTGATAGTGATTCATTAGACAGGTCTAAGTCACTGGGAGCTTTAACAATTTAAAGTACCACCTTGAATTAACCTGGAAAACAATTGGCAAGCATTAATCATCTTTCAGTGTTCCTGATATAATGCACTAGTAATCAGTCTCACTATCACATTTTACACCAATTAAAATGATGTGACATTCTTGACTTGTAGACTTATAGAGAGGACATTGAAAGGGTGATCTAACTAAAAAGCTCAGATAACTGAAGCCAAGATCAGACTGACTAAGGAAATATTGTAGTCAATGCATTGAACCAAGGTAAAACATTTTGTGGAGATTGAATGGAAACAAGAAGTACTTTGGTGATCATGCAAAAACACCAAGAGAGATATTAGGAAGATGCTGTTTAGAGACCAAGGAGTGGATTAGGCAAAAGAATCCTGAGCGCATTGTTTTTCAACCTTGCCATCTTGAAGACATACAGATTTCAACTCCAGCTTCTGGATGAGGAATTATGGAGGTTGGCATCTTCAAGCTGCCAAAGTTGAGAAATACTGCCTTACAAACTCAGCTGAGTCGCAAACCTAATGTGCCCTCAGCACCATTTACTGTTCCTCCAATGTATCGCACGAGCCTATATGATCTCCTAGACCTAGAGACTCAAATTCCTCATGTCTCTTGTGAGATTATAGTGATTTCAAACTAGAAGGACACTGGAAGTTTTCCATCTTATTACTGAGTCATTTTCATGGCAGGGTGGCAGCCTGTAGTCTGATAATATCTCAAATAATTACAGAATCTACTGCAATTGTTCATTTAAAAAGATTTTTATAAAATCAAAGGAAAATAAACCTGTATAGTTCAAAGAGAAATATCTTTATTTCAGCAGTGAGCACAATGATGCATCCCTCACAGTTCCTTTCCATCTGAAGAAATAAGCATTTGGCATCTCATTAATCTCCCTTCCTTTCTTTCCCCTCTTTTTTTCTCCAGGATGTTGCCAAGTCATTTTCAAGACACATTCAATAACCAGAAAAATGCCCAAACAAAGCTACTCAGCCTGCTGCTCATTTGGATAAAGTTAATTACAGCACAGATTAGAATCTGCAAAGCTTGATTAGTGTTAGGGAGACATAGAGAAACACATCATCCTTTGGGAGATTCACATACCACCTACCTCTTATTTCTTTTTTTTTCGTTTCTTCTTTTGTTGTTATTTGTTGTTGTTACTCTTAATTGTTTTGTTTTCTTGTATCCTAGGTGTTTGGCAAAGCATCTGGATTAGTGAGCTGTGTTGCCTAAAGATAGAGTATGCTGCTTTTTCCATTCATCTGGAACAATTTTAATTCAGAAAAATAAATTAAGCCACATTACTTCATTCAGTTATTTCAGAGATGTAAACTTGAATTCACCTAACAATCACAGTAAGTAAGACAAGTGCTGTGATAGAAGCAACGAAAATGCCACTAGGTAACGCACAAACTTTCACATTCTTCAGAATTCTTCTTCAAGAAGAATCTTAAATGGAAAGAAAAAAAAATCTGTTTAGCTGTTTCCAAATTATTAGTTTGTAGCAATCCTGAAGTAAAATGCAAGTTGTGTATTTCAGACATAATTGGATTTTACATGCTTGGAAGCAGAAGGTGTAGGATAACTTATTTTATACTTTGCCAGGTGAACATAATTTTGATGATGATGAATTTGAAGGCAACACACAATTTTTAAAAAGAAACAAATAAAGTAGTATACCATTTGCAATTTTTTCTGTTGTCACTGATGTTCCAAGGTCTGCCTTTTAAAGAGATAATTCATTAAGAATGAATTCATCTGTCATAATTATGATACCACCTATAATTTCCCCTTCTTTTTCTTCTTCTTTTCTTTTGTTTCCGAAACGAACTAGTGTCAAAAAGGTTATTCAATCTGGAAGAGTTCACATTTTTGACATTTAATTTGTTTAGGAATACCACTATGGAGTTTCCATATTTTGAAAGTTTTCATGGTCAACATGACCATTACTTTTGATATTACTTTGTGATGTTTTAGAAAAACTGGTAGGGATTTTGGATTGTTATTCCATTCATATCTGTCTGGAATGTGTAAAATTGTTAATGTCGTTTGCAGAGGGAAGGGCTAATTATTAAATACAAATAGTCCTTGACTTACAAACATATGTTTAGTGTCCATTTGAAATTCTTAAAAAAGGTGATGTATAATGATCTTCATGCTTATAACCATTGCAACATTCCCATTGGGTACATGATTAAAATTCAGACACTTGGCAACTGGCATGTATTTATAATGGTTGTAGTATCCCACGGTCATGTAACTGCCATTTGGAACCTTCCAACAAGCAAAGTCAATAGAGGAAGCCAGATTCTATAATTGTCTAGTTTGGTTCTGCAACCCAACAAGACAGACACAGACTCCAGAGAGTAATTAGGACTGCAGAAAAAACAATTACTACCAACCTGCCTTCTATCGAGGACCTGTATACTGCACGAGTCAAAAAGAGGGCTGTGAAAATATTACAGACCTCTCAAATCCTGGACATAAATTGTTTCAACTCCTTCCCTCAAAACGATGCTGTAGAGCACTGCACATCGGAAGAACTAGACACAAGAACAGGTTTTTCCCAAAAGCCATCACTCTGCTAAACAAATAATTCCCTCAACACTGTTCAACTATTACAAAGTCTGCACTACTATTACTATTAATCTTCTCATCACTCCTTATCACCCATCCCCTCCCACTTGTGACTGTATCACTGTAACTTTGTCACTTGTATTCTTACGATTTATACTGACTATTTCCTAGTATGATTTGATTGCTTATTGTACCCTATGACTATCATTAAGTGTTGTACCTTATGAATCTTGACTCTTGATGAATGTATCTTTTCTTTTATGTACACTGAGAGTATTTGCACCAAGATAAATTCCTTGTGTGTCCAACCACACTTGACTAATAAAAAAATTCTATTCTATTCTATTCATTTAATGACAGCATGATTCACTTAACAAATGCTATGATTCACTGAACAACTGTGGCAAAAAGGTCATAATCTTGGGCATGACTCACTTAACATGTGCCTTGTTTAGCAACAAAAATTCTGGTCCCATTTGTAGTTGTAGTCGAAGACTACCTTTATCCTGTAAGATTTTTCCCCTTCTCTGTCCTATGTACTATATATCTACTATATATATCTACTAGTTGAAATTGACTACAGAAAATTGAGAAACTAGGTTCAATCTGGGACACTAGTAGATCAGATAATGTCATCTGAAGTATTATCAAATGCCACATTAAGCTTTGCTCCTTGACATCACTCTCCATGCAACAATAAAGCTAAGAGATTGTTCTCTGCCTATCTGAAACATGGAGAAATGTCAGGCAGATTGTAAGAGCATACTTTCTTGACTCATGGAGAATTATGACTCCCTTTTTCTCGAAATATACTGAAGGGTTGAACAAGGTCACATTTGCTGACATTCTGAATGAGGTGCAGGCCAGGGCAACTTAACAGGTCTGTAAGGGGCGTGTATAAGTGCACCATCGTACCTAACATCCCTGTCCTGTTGTCCCTATTTATTCATACCTATTTCCTGTATTCTTACTCATGTTTATACTTATACCTATTATCTTGTAAGCAGCTGACAAACAAACAAACAAACAAATAAATAATAACTCTTATGAATAGAAGGGAGCAGAGACTGCGGGAAGAAAAAAAAAATCTTTTGAGTTGGGCCACCAGTTATTGGCTACAAAGTTCAAATAGACATTAAATGTCAACAAAGAAATAAAGATGCCCCTATTTTTTTTCTCACCATATAATGGTTGGCTGGTAGTTTTACTTTAGAGGTAAGAACAGGACTTAAGGTCATATAATTTGCAGTATAATTTGTTAAGTGAATCATGCTGTCATTAAATGACCAGCTGTCTGCAAGGAGTATAAATCCTTCCATTTCCCTACCATTTAGTCAGAGTTGAAGAAGCTCCTTGGATGAAAAGCAAAACATCTTTAAAGAAAAACCGGACAGTCCAGTTGCCTCTTGAAAAAGCACCTTTGGGACAAAGTAGGGTTGGGTTAGTTAAACTCCATTGGGATGCTAGCAAGGAAGGTGATGGTGGTTAAGCAATTGAAAATATGTATATGCATGTATATATTTGTACACACACACACACACACACACACACACACACACAGTTTTAAAGTATGCCACGTATGTTGAATTTTTCTGGATCAGCAGAAACAATGGAGAGAGGAGGTCCCTGAAATAACCAGAATGCATATCATGAAGAACTTTATAGGTAACAACCAGTATCTTGAGTTGCACATGAAGGTTTGTTGGTAACCAGCAGAACTCTGTAATATGAGCATGCCATTGTATTCTGGACATGCCATAAACTTCATTCAATAGCTTCAACCCAATTATTTTCTCAGCAATAGTTCTACAAAAGGGAAGCTTGGAGATTGGATGAAAATTGCCCAGAACTATTTGGCTCACTGATGGCATCCAGCTTTCTGCCCCCCCACCCCAAGCAGGTGGGATCACTCTAAATCAAAGATGAATATACTACCCTATAGACTAAAACCTTGTGTCACCTGTTGGGAGGCCTTTAGATAAGAAGGGCACTAATCTAATGGAAAAGCAGTCAGCTTAACAGTCTCAATGAACCGGTCTGTTTTCTCAACAGTTTCAGAATGATAGATTTGCCAAGTAATAGAGTAACAGTTGACTCATTCAGACTTGTCCAGTTAGTGTTCATTTTCAAGATAAGCAATATTATTCTCCAGTAGCTAGAATTTTCCTGATATTTTTTATGAAGATTCTCTGCCTTTCTTGTAGTCACATACCTGGCATTGCTTTATGCAATTTACTAGCAAGTTCTTTATTTCAACAAATAATGGCCAAGATTTTTGGATCTTGCAATCCTAACAGATTAGAGATGACTGCTCCAGGCTAGATGGTTTTGGCCACCTTACAAGGAGCCTTCCAAATAGGACTTCTTTTTGTGATCAAAGGAATGTCATCTGTCAATTCTGAGTTTAAAATTACCCTGTAAAGCTGTATGCAACTTTATTATGATAGGTAGTGAGTCTGAAGCTCAAATGCATTCATTGGAATCATTCATCCTCAAATTAATTATCTGTTATGTTACAAATTGCTTGCATTTGTTTGACCAATCAGTTCCATTGTATGACTGCAGACATCTCATTTTTGTCACGAAAAAAGAATCTTTCTTTTCTCCCCTCAAAGCTCTGCACCATGCTGAGCTCTGCATAGTGTTAAGAAATGGCAGCAGTATTAAAAAAAGTTTACTTTCATCCCAATATTACTCCAAGGAACCAATTGCCTTGTTTGAGATAATATTATACTGAACTTTTCCCTGGATTAATTACCGATGTTCAACTACTTTATTGATATTTCCCACTCAACCTTATTTAAATGCTGATTTTTGGAAAGGAGACTCCTAGTCTTTAAAGAGCAAATCCAAATGGACTTTATTATAAGACATGGTATGGGAGAAAAGAGACAAACATAAAATCAACATTGAGTTGCTTGAAGCTTTTCCTCCACTTTGTTAGATATGAAGACTTCAAGGAACATAGAAGATGTATCAACGTTCATTTTTAGTTGTTAAATGAAGATAAAAGGGACTTTTTGAAATCACAACAAATGTAATTGATAAGGTAGGATTTTTTTTAAAAAAAGAAAGGAAAACATTGTGGAAAGTTTATGTAATTGTATAACTAAAACCACAAACAAAAATTATTTGAATGATTAGTTTATTTTTCCTTGTATTATGTTTCTCTGATGACTAACCTGAGATTGTGAAGATTGTCTTATTGACTATTCTTAAATCAGTAGCACAAACCAAAGATATCAAACCGCTTGATCCATTCATTTCTAATATTTTGTTTCTAATCACAGAGAGACTGTACACTTCAAAATGCAGATGGCAGATTTTATGGTACATGGCTTGATCTTTTCTCAAATTTCCTGGGTACAAAAACCTCACCAGCAGGAAGAAGGATGAAAAATGCTTGGAATTGCTCAGCTTATGGAAAAGTTTAAACTCAAAGATTTTCATCTACAGACCCTGATATATTCCAAACTGGTCCTAGAAAGATGCCTTAGATTAGTATTTTTCAAATTTGGTATCTTAAGATGTGCAGACTTCAATTCACAGAATTCTCTAGCCAGAATTTTGATGGGGTATGTGTGTTTCTGGGAGTTGAAGTCCATGCAAAGTATCTTAAAATTACCAGTTCTGGGAAAAAAACCCCCACTGCTTTAGATTATACAATCCGTGCTAGGTTTGCCAA